CTAACTTTAACTAAAATTTAATACAAAACAAAATATGAATTATCATAAATATATTTTTCCTGTTACATTGATTCAATTTAAAGAGTAACCCAAGATGTGCGATATTATATTCGTAAATTGTCAGCTTTAAACTTTCAAGAACTAGTTAATGAATTAGAAACCGTAGTTAGTAATTTACCGATTAAAGAAAAGAAATCAGAAGATGAAACTGTTGATTTAACCTCATCATCAGCATGAATAATGCTTGTAATTGCAGTAGCTATTCCTACTATTGATGATAAATATTACTACCATAATAATTTATTTATTAAAATTTATGTTTTATGTAGCTGGGTTTCATGATAGGAATTGGAATTGCTTAATCCCTGAAAATTGGTTTATAATTCTGGGTAATTATATTAATCCTGGGACAAAATTATTTTAAATTGGCTAAACTTAACGGTTGACATGGTTAAACGATTAGAAAATTTTAGAAAGTATTAAATCAAATTTTCCCATTTACTCTATAAAACTTAATCCTTCTCCTTCCTTAGGATATATCTTATGCTGTTTCAAATATTCATCATTCCTTAGAATTTGATGATAATACAAAATTAATAAAAATTATTAGCTTCCTTATACTAATAACAACACTTACCAAAATTTGGTTAAATGCTATAGCGCATTGTTTCATAAAACCATAAAGTAAAATTTAACAAACCATTAGGGACATTGTTAACCATGTTAAAAAAAAAAAGGCAAGATTCGTTGTCGAGGATGATACTGGCATTTGGAACGAATTAATTGACCAGATATTAAAGAATGTAGGCTGATTATAGCGGTTTGCAAAATTTTGTGAAATTTGCGATCAAAAAAAAAGAAATCGTTCTGATTTTTAACTGATTTCTTAAAATTACTCCGATACCTGAGTATGAAACTATCATATCGGAGTAGTTTTAAGAAATCAGAAATTATCCAAAAATCGAGTGATTTCTCTTTTTTTTGATGATCCGCAAATTTCACAAAATTTTGCAAACCGCAATAATTACAGTGCTTTTCAAAATACTGTGATCATGTACTACCCCGGAAATCAGCAATTTAGAAAAAATACCAATCCATGATTGGTTAAAAAATTAATTAAATAATTATTACCAATCATAGATTGGTATTTTTTTCTAGATTTCCGATTTCTAGTGTGATACAACAGTAATTTGAAAAGCGCTGTAGATTAATTCTGCATCATTCCAAATTTCAGTATTATCCGTGACATTTGTTATCGCAAACATACACGTTGACCTGAATCGCACAAAATCGTAACAATACGATTTCCTGGACCTAATTGCCTAGCAACACGCACACAACCAACACAATTAATCGCCGACGAGCTTCCGACAAAAAGACCTGAGCAGCATACCCAGCACGTGGCATTATTAGTGTCCATCGTCAGACTATATTTAACCTTACTTGAAACAAACCTTCTTCCCGAACTAAATATCTTGCCATTGCGACAGCCTCTTCATCACTAACACGTATCGCATCGTCGATTAACTCATATGCAGCATTAAAGTTTTCAGTCATACGATTTAAACCAACCCCTTCAATAATAGTATCAACCTGATGTCTTCGTCGTGTACCCTCAGCTTCATATGGGGAATACATAATATTATATTTTATCTTATTATATAATCCGGAGCCAGGCGGGTCAACAAGAAATACCTTC